GATTCATTAATTCCTTTAACACATCATTCAATCATCAGCAGAATTTGGTAGAGGAATGGGTGTGGCATCTTTTGACTTACAGTAGTGTTTATATCACCAGCATCCTGGAGCCGAGTGTCACCACAGTAACTCCACACCTTAGTGAATGTAAAACATCAAACATCAGCTGACACGCAAACTAAATGACACGTATCTATGTATTGAGAACCAGTCTGATCACTATCAGAACAAACTTCAGTGTCATTATAACCATATACAGAAACACAATACAGCAATGATATAATACATACAATTCAAAATGCTCTGCTTTGGCATGCTAGGTATTTGTTGGATGAATAGTATGTCAAACTGAAGACAAATATTAATGATAATAGATACACCACAAATGTGGGCCAAAAAGTTAAATTTGATTAATGTAACCATAAAGGAAAGACACAAAACCAAATATGTGTGCTGATATGCCTATAAACCAATTTGAATGAAATTTGAATGGCAAATTTATGAAAAGGCTGTATGTTTGACATTTGATTCTCTCTTTCAGGTCAGAATGAAGACGTCAGATCTGCTTTCTTGACATACTTGACAGCAGTGATGATAAAGACAACGTATTGAGACGCAATGACAGCAGGAATGTTTGAGAGTTCAGCAAAAGACACTCTAAATATATTACTCTGAGCTGTGGCAAGACGCATGGAGAAATTTACAATATACTATGTAAAGTTTTAGACATAATGCTGTAAAGTGAAAAACAAAGCCACAACAGGTTTAGTTTCACAGTAAATCACTATTAACTAAATAAAATCAATATTGCTCACCCTTTTAAAACAGCTTCTGTCATAGTTTTTCATATTTTGTGAGAAAACTCACATACACAGTACTGTATATTTACATGAACTGAATAAGGCAGAAGCTAAGAACCTTACTCAATAAATATGTCTGTAGCAATTAATGTTCACTGGTATAACTGAAGTGTTAAATGCTTATCAAATTAGCTTTATTGTTTTATGAGACCCCAAATGACCCCCGACCTCAATGTGATTTATTTTTTCAACACCTTCTTTAAACCATGAGTACATCTGTGATCAAATTAAACAGAAATACAAAAATAATGTTTTAATTTTGTCTTTCTTTTGTGCTTCCTCAGAAAACTTTTACCACCAAACATAATAACAATCAAAATCAGGGTAATTATAATTATTAATCAAACGCCTTTCAGAATAAAAATATCCACAAAAATTAACTGAAAATAACATATGTTAGCATGTGTACAGTTCTTATTACCAGTAAAGTCACAAATGTGCTCTTATGCAGTGTCCTGAACTCTTCCCTTTGCCACACAATCTGCTTTTTGATATGTAATTGTCACACACAGGGAAAGCAACAGTATTCTGCTAGTAAATATAAAACATCAAACAATGGCATCAGGTTCCCACTGCAAATTAAAAGAGACAAAACTGAATCTATGTATTTAAGAACCAGCCTGACCAGGCTTTGTGACATTTTGTCCATAAAATACAAAAACAGAATATAATAATGATATAATACATACAATACCAATTTAGATTGTGTGTTTAGACTCATTTCTGTCATTTCAGTGTCTCTGCCAGTCACAGTAAAGATGACCTGTAAACATAATATAAGTGGGGTGCACATTTGGAATAGATGTATTAAAAAGAATCAATGTTTGAACTCCAAATAAATGTCCCCTCATCATAACCAACCTCTTTAACGGTCTCTAAGGGCCCCAGTCGTATGTTGGCACCTGAATATCATGAACACGTGGAATCGGGCTCTTCTAACATCCTGCTGTTGATAGTTTTTCTCTTAAGCACCACTCATTAAATTAAACACATCAGATTTTTTTAAAATCATACTTCTGCATTCACAATTTCATAACTTGACTTACTGTTTCACCCACTGCCCCCTAGAGCCTATATGCAAGAACTGCATAACATATAGAACTAAAAATAAATCTATATTAAAACAGCTTGAATATTACAGCATCAAGTGGGGCAGTAGAGAGTCAGACTTTTAACCTGAAGGTTGTGGGTTCGATTCTCAGCAGCACCAGCAGGAAATGTAGATGAGGGGAGTGAATGAACGGCGCTCTCTTCTACCTTCAGCATCCTGGTGCTGAGTTTCACCACAGCAACACTCCTTATAGTTAATAAAAAACAACATATAATGTCATCTGGTTGCACCTCTGCAAACTGAATATGTGTGGTTAAGAACCAGCCTGAAGACAAGTAGCCTACTAGAAGCTATAGTACATACAATACAAAAGGTTCAGCTTATGCACAAAAGGCATTTCTTGGGTGAATAATATGTGAAACATCAACATTATCATAATGTGAAAGAATAGATGTCTACAGGTACACCCATAAAAAACATCTGAAAAGACTAGCTAGACCAACAAGCTAGACCAACTTTTTTAGTGTTCATGCTGGCATGGTGTTGGTTTAGCTGGTGGACTTGATAGCATGGTCTTTCACTTTCATGGTTCTTCACTGAAATGATCAAGGAAATGTTGATTAAATCCTAATTACCTATCATGAATGACCTGCAGAGGGCAGCAGAGGAGCTCTGATACAAACAGAAAAGACTTTCAAGTGTCATACCCACCAGTAATTCCCCCAGTTTTTTCCCGAGGTAAATATTGGTCATACCAGGGATTCGGTAATAAAAAAAAAAAGTGGTGATTCACCAAGACGAATTGTTAGAAGCTTTACACAGTACTTTGGTATGCCCATTATAATGAATAAAAACACTAATTTAGATTCCACTCAAATGTGACATAATTTACCAGAAATTACATAATTCAGGTCTCTTGGTGCAGAAAATGGTTAGTAGTAGGTCTATCACACATTTTATTCATATTTTTGAGGCATATTATAGTCAGGGAAGGTACTGTCAAGCTAACCAACTCCCGTCACACAAAATTAAGAAAGAAAATTATTATTTTTCAAAATTATATTTTAATCCATAAGTATATGTACTTATTGTATTGCTACCATATATGGTCTACACTACATGACTTTCTGAGCAGCACTTTAGATCTAAATCAAACCATATGATTCAATGATTTCAGTGAGATCACATTTTGATTTTTCACTTATCAAGAAAGAGACCAGACCCAAGACTGACAGATACAGGGTTTTATTCAAAAACTTAACTCAATAAAGATCATCTTTGAATATGTAACAGAAAACCACTGCAACAGAAAACAGCTGACAGGAATATTCAGAGGCTGAATTGTTTAAATGAATGTTTTGCACTTAATGTTATTTGGGTCTTTCCTTGTTTCTTACCTTTAGACTAAAAATCTGCAATAAGTTAAAACAATTTACCAGAATTATAAATGAAAGAAAAATAAATATAGGACACATAAAAGTTATTTAAACAGTCCATTAACTGTTGAATATTCACAGAAATATTTAAATATCAAGTATGAAGTTGCTTTATTGTCAAATGGCCTTATATTAAACATCATGCCACAAGACAGCTTTATACTGCAATGCTGCTGTTTCCATTTGAGCTATGAGAACTGAGTAACATAAACGTGGAAAGGTTTTAGAAAACCTCAACTCTAGACAAAGGTGACAGATGCTGTTTGTGAGCAAAACAAGCAGACCAGTGGAACATATTTATGGTTTTGGTTTAACACTTCAGTTCAGTTTATCCATAACTTTTTTTTTTGTTTTTTTTTTTTGCTGAATGCAAAATTTAGAATAACTTATTTTTATTATGCAATCATAGAAAATAGTTTATATGATATTATACAGATATGATAAAAGATCTGATGATTTTATGTAGATATCATTATGATTATTCAATTTCTGCACCTGGACACCTACAAACCTGAAAAATTAAAACATTGTTTAATTGGTGTCTTTGTTTTAATTATTTATAATTTCTGCTATTGCTTGTAATTTGTATATTTGTTGTCTTTTTTTTAATGGTTGTTCACTAGTCTTTAATAATATTTGAACTTTAGATTTGTTAGGATGGGCGTTTTTGCTTTGGTATTGAAATTGGAATCTAGAACTGCAAAATTTAAATCTAAAATTTTGGTGTTTGTTTATTAGAATACAAGACAACATGGGCCAAAAGCAATGAAAACAATAACTTTTTTTTGTGCAAGGGCTAAAATTATATAAAACACACATATGTTTTCATTTCTGAAATAGTTAAAGTAAGCAGAAGTACATTGGTAAATTGCTATTTACTACTGTATAAGGTCTAGCAGCCTTTGACTTCTTTTCAGTTAATTTATTGTTACATGCAAAAACATTTTAATGGTTAAATGTGAATGAAGCAGATCAAAAACTTTACATGATACTTAATAAAGGAATTCCAACGATTCTGAAAATTATGCTTAATGCATAACTAACTCCTAAACTGTTTTTTGTTCACTGACCAGTAATGGTGGAAATATAAAATGTCATTCAAATATTCAATATTCAGTTGAATAGTTCTCCACCTCGGCGTACTGAAAGAGCAATGAGAACAACAATTAGCATTTCAACTGCACTTAACCTAAAACTAATCTGAACAAAGTTCTACTATAGTTTGTTGTACTTATAGAAGTAAAAACCTTCAGTGTAAATAATTATATAATAAATAATAATAATGAATTTTAGTAACAATTTTAAGATTTTAAATGGTTTCACATATTTACCTTTTGTAAAAGTTTTGCATCTTGAAGCCGATATGTAACTTTTGTCTGCAGATCAGCATCATAAACAGATTTTTCCAACCGTTCTGCTTTTCTAGCAGCAAAAACTAAGAATGAAACCAAGCATTCAGATTCAATATTTTTAAATTGTAACATGTGGAGACAAACATGCCCAACTAAAGTCAAAAGACTATGAACAACATCTCCTAACTGCAGAAGAGTCCAGTCATCATATGGATATTTTCACAGACAACACCACTAGTGTTTATTTAATTTGCTAATTTAATTTAAGAAGAATAACTCACCAATCAGCACAATAATCAGAAACCCGTTCATCAGTCCAGATATGAAGATAATAATAATCTGCCATTGTGTTTGATTGTGACACTCAGTTAGTTCAACTGCTTCTGTAAAGAAAACATGCACAGTCTGTTACTGTCAGTCTTTTACTGGAACACAATGACAATGTTACAGTTTTATAAAACTAAATTAAATACTGATAAATGATTCATCTCTATGTGGAGCAACTAATGACAGGGCTTACATTTTTTTCTAATAAAACTGTAGTAAAAAATAAATGTAAATAATCACACTGATTATCAGACTGTCACTCACCATTGAAGTATATTCTGGTGCTGTTGCTGAGTTTTGGAGGTGTTTCTGTGTTCATACAGTAATAAACTCCTAATTCATCAGCAGTCACATTATTAATAACCAGACGATGTTTAAACTGCACTGAATATTTCTTTCTGAATGTTTTATTATGGTAAAAGGGGGATTTCGTTTGTGTTGGGAATGATCGTAGAATGACTGTCGGAGGATCTGCTGTTTTCAGTAAAATCCAATAAACCTCATTTTCATCAAGATCACAGTTTATGCTCACATTTGATCCCAGATCAGTTAGTAGATCTGCCACTGCATACTGACAACAGATTAATACCACTGTGTGAAGAATTAAAAAATATTATATATATTATAAAAGTTTAGAGTTTCCAAAGTGTGTGAATGTATGTTAAAAATATTCATAATACGTAAACTTACAGAGCTGAAGCTGTTTGATCGTCATGTTGTTGTCTTGATAACTTCAATATAAAATCTGGTTCCCTCCACACTGCATGTGTGAAGAAGACAAGAAAGAAATGAAGAAGAGGAAGTAAAGTTTTCGTCCACATTGTACACACTTTTTTTTTTTTTTTTTAACACACAATGATCCACAACCTCAATAACGAAGGGCCTCATTACTTTATTAAATGTGTATGACAGAAGATTTCCGGTTAAAAATGAACACACTTCAATTATTAAGTACATAAAAATTTAAAACGGTCTCATTGCCTTAACCCCAATTCACAATAGTAAGTTTATAATAATAGGTCAGATTTCACAGGAAGCATCAGTTTGGCATCATTCGTGACATTTGCTCTGAGAAAAAGATCTCTGGTAATAAGGGGCAGACTAAGCAAACTCCAGGTATGGGGCCTCAGTGGACCAAATGTGCTTTTATACTTTTGAAACCCTTATATTGCTCTCTTTTTCTCTCTCATAATTTGTAGTTTATTTACCCCTTACAAACTGTCTAACCCGATCTCATGAAAGTGCGCATAAATAGTACAGCAAATAAAAAAAACTTGTGGCATTGATACGCAAAAATTTACTTTGGTATGCTACGCAAGGGGAATGATTAGGGTTGTGGGGTAGATGCATATCATATGTACACAAAAACGTCTCGGGTTATGCATGTAACCATGGTTCCCTTAGAGGGAACGAGACGCTGCACCCCCTAGGGGACATATTGGGGAATGCAGCCTGCATGACCGGTGTGTGAAGCACGTGTGAAACAACGCCAATCTATTGGTCCACCTGGCCCATGACGTCATAGGCGGGGTGCCCAGAAGTATAAAAGGGCACCTGCTGAATACGTCATCCACTTAGCTGTCTGAAGGAGATGTAAACACGCAGGCCGAAAGCATGGCGCGGGGGCGCAGCGTCTCGTTCCCTCTCGGGGAACCATGGTTACATGCGTAACCCGAGACGTTCCACTTCTAGGGAACTCCACGCTGCGCCCCCCAAGGGGCACATTGGGGAACGAAATCCAACCGTGCCGAGGCGCATGCCTGTCCACCTGGTAGAAGCACCAAGGAAGCGACAGACATACACCAAGCCTTTTCTCAGAAAGGGGCAATGCCACTGCGCCACGGGCCACACACACAACTTGAGCTCATACAACAGAAATGGGAAACCCGATTAGATCAAGGGTAACATCCCACCCAAGTTAAGAGCACAATTATCCTCAGATAGCTATGCTATGTGAGTCATATAAGCCTGGATACACAAGACCACAGAAGAGACTAACTAGAAAGCCTCTTAGGAGCTCAAATATAGCTACTTAAATCCCGGTAAGGAGAAATAGCTGATGAGCTAGAACACAGCTATCCTCAGATAGCTATGTCCCAAAGTTCTTATGAAGGCTTGTAGACCAGAATAACCACACACAGCTAGCCTAGATAGCCAGGCAACACCTTCCTGCAAAGCTGCCCAGACCACAAAGAGTGAGCTATCTACTTATACAGGTAACCCTAGCAGGGGAGATAGCACTGTCTAGGGAAGGGCTCAAGTAAATCGCTAGTTAAAACCCTAAGCAGGGGAGCAATCACTGAG